TGTTTAATGAGGGCACTGAGAAAGAAATCAGCAAAACAATACCACTCTGCACAACAGGATCAAGAAAAATTCAAAACCTAGAATTTATCCTAACCACGGAACTGAAATACCTCTAAAATGAAAGCTACAATTCTCTTAAGACATTGATATGTGCATTATAAAATTGAAAGATGTCCTTTATTGTTGTGTAGTCTAGAATCGACATTATCCAAGTGAGCATATAATAAAACATTATGTGGAGATTTAAGGCAATTCCAATAAAAATATTATCAACATTTTTCATAGATGCAGAAAAATGCCATTCTAAAATATATATGGACCCTGAAATGACCCAGAATAGACAAAGCCCTTCTCAGTTTGACTGTCATTTTCCTTCTATTCCAGTTTTTTTCATGACAATCACTGCTATGCATTTGAATGATTGAACATTGTGGATGTGATTATACCCATAAAACAGACACAAGAAACTCTCATATCTTTAGTACTATGGGACGTTCATGAAAGGAACAAATGGCAACTGGCACAGCCCCAAAAGTGCTGAAGCTACACTAATTAGAGCCAATTACTATGGATAAACAAAAGGTGTGTTTGATGTTCCAAAAGAGATTTGTATATTAACACTAGTGAAGTATATTTACTAATAGAAATGAATAAGATTTGCCATTTATCTCCAATTACATGAGATATATTTCTTTTTAAGGACAAAATAAACTGTTCCATGAGACACAACAGGCCACACCTCATGAAGGTATATTGTCATTGAATGTAAATTAATCTTTTATGTATAAATATCAATATACTCATTTTATTTTGCCTTACTTTTTTGTTAATTTATTGAGAAACAAATAACAATGAGACAGTTTCAAAACCAACTAGTGGGACAATTTCAATAATTTATACATATTGCATATTGTTGTCTTAGTGGTTATTCATGGTACAAGATGCAGACATGATATCCTGTCCAATCATTATTAGTACAAATCCTTCTTCTCATTGAATTAAGAGAAAGTAGCTATACATTTATCCTATTTTGTATATACACATACAAAATGGTCCTTCATTTGTATCCTCTTTGTTTAGTTTTGTCAGAAATGGGTTTTTCCCCTTGGGATGTGTAGTTATTTCATTTTTTTTGTTCCTTATTGCTTGAATTTAATTTTTTTTCATTCCTCTTTTGATGAGGTTGGCTACAGCTTTATTAATTTTATCTAGTCTTTCAGGGAAACAGCTCTTTGTTCCCTTAACTGAACTGTTTTCTTCATCTCAATTGCTTTCATTTTTGCTCTAATCTTCATAATTTCCTCCTGCCTTTGGGCTTTGGGTCTGGTTTCCAGTTTGTCTTTTATTTTTCCTTTTTCTCTTTGTCCCAGAAACTTCAGTTGTGGCATTAGAGTGTTCATTTGTTTTTCTTCTGTTATCCTAATACGTGAGTTCACTGCCATAAATTTCCCTCTACAAAATGCTTTGGTTGTATCTGTCTCAATTACTTTTCTCTCATTGCTGGAACAAAATACTTGACACCCAAAATTAAGGAAGGAAAGTTTTATTTAGCTCACAGTTACTGGAGGTTTCAGTGCATATGCAGCTAGCTCCAAGATAGAGTAGCCCATGGCAGAGGGCAGCAGGTCATGGTCAGCAAAACCAACCAGAGCAAACAGGGAGGAATAGCGTTTGGTAGCTCGTAATGCTCTCTCCCTTCCTTATATTGTATTCAAGCTATCCACCCCTGTGTGGATATAGCACTTATACCAATAATCCCCACAATGGAACATGAATTAGTCACAATTTCTGGAAGCCTGCCCCAAATAATGCATGAAGATTGGGAGGGCAACTAGACACAGACAGTAACAGCATCCTACAAACTCCAGTTAAGTTGTGTTTGAGTTTTTGTTGAATTTTCTTGTTTATTTTTGTTTATTTTCTTGTTTAATTTAATCTGTGATCTATTTGTCACTAAGGAGGGTGTTATTTAATTTCCATGTATTAATGCAGTTTATCTGCATCACAGAAATACTCATATTTAATAGAGTTCAACAACCACATTGTAGGTTAAGTGGCAACCCACATTTTGCAGGCATTATAACAAATTGAAACATGTTAGATGTTTACATGCTGTCAAAAGTTGAGAATGATATTTTTCTGGGTGGCTGGCTCAGCCTGCCTTAAGGGCAGGTCTGGTAAGGCAGGAGGAGGTAGGGATCAAACCCCAGTATCCTGCATGTGACTGCATTTGCATGAGTAGGTGCTTAAAAAATAGAGCTAACCAGCAGGCCCCAAAGCTGTTTTTATAGTTTATTTTGTTGTTAACTTCTACATTCATTGTACTGTGGTCCAATAATATCCATGAGATAATTTCAGTTTTCTTGTATTTACTTAAACATGATCTTTGAACTAGTATGTGGTCTACCTTAGAGAATATCCCATGAGTAGCTCAAAATAATGTGTATTCAGATATTGTTGAATTGAGCACTCTGCAAATGCTTACTAATTTCATTTGTTCAAAGGCTTGGGTAAGTTCTGCTACCTCCTTGCTAATGTTTGTCTAGTTTAGCTATTTCTCTGAAATTATTGTGTGTCAAGGTCTCCTGCTAAAATTATGTTATTGGTCATTAGGCTTTCAATGTCATTTAAAATTTATCTTATATAGTTAGTCATTCCCATATTTAGTACATAAATATGATATTTATGTCTTCCTCTACAAAATTTCCCCTAACCAGTATGTAGTGAACTTCCTTATCTCATTTGATAATTCTCGGTTCAATACAGAATAGTTGCCTCTGCTTTTTCTGAACTCTTTAAGCATGTAATATCATTTCCATCTTTTGACTTTCAGCCTATGAATTTCCTCTTGAGTTAAAAGAATATCTTGCATATAGCATATTCTTGGATTTTGTTTCGTGATTGACTCTACCAGTCTATTTTTTTTAACTGGTTAGTTGAGACCATTTATATTAGTGTTAGTAATTTATACGTATTGGATTATCTTTGTCATGTTAGTTTTCTGCAGTTGATTTTCTAATTTTCCTGTGTTTAATCATTTGCCCTGTTTGGTGATACTATTCTGTTTTTATTTTTGGAGAGGCAGTTCTTTTGATCTCTTTCTTCACTCCAAGATCTTTTTTACATGTTATTTTGTATTGAGAAATATGCTATTATTCTGGCGGACTTTCCTTTAAATGTGACCTATTCTTTTTCTCTAACAGCTTTTTGTATGTTCTTGTGTTGAATTTCTTGGATTATGATTATTATATGTTTGGGTATAGCTTTATTTTGCTTGATGCTGTTGGGATTCCTATATGACTCATTTATCAATTCATCATATTCTTTCCCTATATTTGGGAAGTTTCCTAATACTCTGCAGATATTCTTTTTATGTCATTTGCCTTTGCTCCTTTTTCATTGATGCTTACTCATCTTATGCTGTTAATCTTTTCGTTATCTTCTAGCTATTGAATTATTATTTTACGATATCTCATTACTTTTACGAGATCTTTCCTTTCCTGATCACTAGTTGCGACAATGTCATCATGGTATGGAAGTCAATCGTTACTTTCATTCAAATGGTTTTGTCAGCTTTTAATGGAATTTTTAATTTCCTG